AATCCAGCCTGGGGGACAGAGCGAGACTCCGTCTCAAAAAAAAAAAAAAAAAAAAAAAAACCTTTACTGCGCAGAGATGAGTAAGGCACGGTTCACGTTCTCAGAGCTTAGCAGTCTAACCTGGGAGGCTGTCTCCGTGTCTCACCTGCAGGTTTTTGCTCTCTCCACACCATTTTGCACACACGTCCTCATTTTTCTCCTGATAATTCCAACCTTGTCCAGATTCCATGTGTCCAGCTCAGCACTTACTAATTGCCTCTTACGAGTGGGAGCCTCTGCTACTCAGTGAAAATACGGTAGTGATTAAGATCAGACACCAGGATACAGTCCTGGAATGGGGCATTTTAAACACAGGAAGCAGAAGTACCGACTGTTGGAGACCCTAGTGCAGGCGGTGGTAGTATCGTGGAAGCTGGTGGAGGAGGAAGGGGAGGAACACCAAGGTGGTGAGCGGAGAGTGGGAGAAGCCAGAGGGCTTGGGGGAGCCAGGTCAGAGCATTCAGACGTTGCTGTGAGAGCCACTAAAGGTGTGACCAGGTGGCAGAATGAATGGTGGTGGCTGTGAAGGGGACAGGGAAGAGAGCAGGGCATCCTTCCAGGGGAGCAATGTGGAGGGAGGGGAAAAGGAGAAGGGGGCTTCCAGTGGCCTGTGGGAGGGGAGGCCAGCAGGACTGGAGGGTGTAGACACAAGAGTGAAATCAAGGATGACTTGAAGACTTCCAATGTGGTTGGCAAAGTGCAGGGCAGTGCCACCCTTTGAAGTAGGAGGCAGGAGGAGGAGGAGGAGCCATTGGCCAGGAAGGCATTGAGTAGCTTTGGACACGGGGACCTGGATGTGCTGGGGGCATTCACACGGAGGTGGCCTGGAGGCAGCTGGACCTACAGGGCTGAAGTTGAGGAGAGAGGCCCAGGCTGGAGACAAACACTGGGCAGTCAGCCTGGACCACGTAGCAAGACCCTCTACAAAAAATAAGAAAATTAATTAGCTGAGCATGGTGGTGCACACCTGTGGTCCCAGCTACTCAGAAGGCTGAGGTGGGAGGATCACCTGAGCCCAGGAGGTCCAGGCTGCAGTGAGCCGTGATGGCACCACCGCACTCCAGCCTGGGCAACACAGCAAGACCCTGTCTCAAAAGAAGAAAAAAAAAAAACAAAAAAAAAGGCCAGTCATGAGCACATCGTTGGCAGCTGGAGCTAAGGGGATGCCCGCCCCCTTCACATATAGAGGAGCCCGTGAAGAAAACAGAGAAGCGTGGTACGAGGAAAGTTCCAAGATGTGGCTCCATGAAACACAGGGTGGAGAAGATATTGAGGAGAAAATGGGACCCGTAAGAGAAGAACCAGAAATACCGTGTCGTCTCAGGGAGTGTCTCCAGGGACCGGAAAGGGACTGGGGCCCAAGCCTGCCTGGCTGCGGATCTGGTATCTGCAGCTATGGTGATGCTTCGTAACAAAACCGCCCTAAAACTCAGCAGTTAAAACACCCAACAACTCCTCGGCACTTCTCACAAATCCACGGTGCTGCTGGCCTGGCCAGGCCAGGCTGGGCCGAGCTCGTGGGGCGCCCGCCGTCAGCTGGCAGGTGGGCTGGGCGGGATCCCTAGGCCCTCAGCCTCGGTCTCACATTCCCCAGTGAGTTCCCACGGGAGCGTGTGGGGTCCACCACAGCATGTTTTTCAGCCTTTGCTCGAGCCGTGTTTGTTGATGTCCTCTGGACCAAAGTTAAAGAGGGAGGGGACAAAGTGACAGGGAAAGGCTGGAGCCATGGGAAGCCACCAAGAGGCCACAGATGCACCTGTTCCACCTTCCGAGAAGGCTGGGGGAACAGAGATAGGAGGGCACCGGCTGTGGGGAGCCCAGCGGCATGTTTAGATTGGAGAGGCTGGGCGCGTTTCTGGGCTAAGCGTGGGAGCGGGCAGAGGAGAGGCTGGGGCTGGAGGAAGGAGGAGGGGTGGGTGGCTGGGGAAGGGGCTGAGGCTAGGGCCTCAGGGGCATCCCGCTCGCTTCTGACAGGAAACATCTGAACCCCCCATCTTGGTATCAAACCCTTTCCCAGTCTCCCTGCTTCCTCCTGGCCACGGGCTTTACAGCGGGGGGCAGTGCCATCACCAGGACCCTGCAAGGGTCCACAGAGGCCACGCTAGCAAAGACTCAAGCCAAAGCTGGCCCGAGTCCTGGAGGGACCCCGTGCCCTCCCGTGGAAGGATAGGAGGTTCGTGGTACTCTGCGGCTACTCCAGCCCCCACCCCGCTTCACCCACGAGGCTGTCAACGGACGGGTTCTCATTGTCTCCGCTCCTCTCACGGGTCTGAGGCTGTTTCCTATAACAAATTGCCACCAACTGGGGCCGAGGGGTGGTGCTTAAAACAACGGAAATGTATTCTCACCCAGTTCTGAAGGCCAGAAGTCTGAAATCCAGGTGTCCACGGGCCACGCTCCCTCTGGAGCCACAGGGGAGGGTCCTTCCTGCCTCCTCCAGCTCTAGGGACCTCCGGGGTTCCTTGGCCTGTGGCCGCATGGCTGCAGCCTCTGCCTCCGTCTTCATGCAGCCTCTCCTCTTCCCATGCCTCTCCTCCGTGTGCCTCCCATGAGGACTTGTCATTGGATTTAGAGCTGCCCTCATCTAGGATGATCTTACCTGGAGATCCTGAACTTAATTACATCTGCAAAAACCCTTCTCCCCAAATAAGCTCCCACTCGTAGTTCCAGGGTTGGGACACCGAGGTGTGTTTATCAGGGCCACCATCCAGCCCACCAGAGAGGCTTCCGGCCGAACCCCGGGTACAGCTGGAGCCCAGCAGGGGCTCCTCAGTGGCAGGCAGTTCCCACCCTGCCGGAGTCGTCGGCCTCTGCGGTTCTGATGCTGTCCTTTTTGAACAAGGGCTTATGCTCCTCCTCCCTCATTGTCTGTGTCAGAAGTGGCTTCTTGTGTCTGGCACAGCCAAAGCACTCAGGCTGGCCTGGCCTAGCCCCTCACCCTGCCTCCTGAGTCTCAGTGAAGCCCCTCCCTCCTTCATGCCTGGGTTGCTCACGGCTGCACCAGCGCTCCTGCTTCTCTCCCTACCTCGAAGCCTGTGCCAATCCAGCCCATTCCTCAGAGCCCATTCCTCAGGCTCAGGGCCTCCTCCTCCAGGAAGCCCACCCTGGCTGCATCTCCTCTGGGACACCACTCAGCACATCAAGTGTGTCAGCAAGGAGCCTGGAAGTTGCTGGAAGCCGCCTCCCTGTTGGTGGCAGCTCTGCCCCAGGCCAAGGTCAGCTGGCAGTACCTCCCCCCAGCCCCTGAATGCAGGAGAGGAACAGCAAGTACCAGAGAGGTCTGGGGGGAGTCCCTCTCCAGTGGCCAGGCTGTCCTGAGGCCTCCCAGGCCCCATTCTCTGGGACTCCCTGGGGTGAAGGGCTGGCATGAAAGGAAGATCCCAGAGTCAAATGGCCCAGTCTGGCATCCACACAGTCTCTTCCCAGTCAAGAGGCCTGGACAGGTTATTTTCTTTTTTCCTTTTTTTTTTTTTGAGACAGAGTTTTGCTCTGTCACCAAGGCTGGAGTGCAGTGGAGTGATCTCAGCTCATTACAACCTCTGCCTCCTGGGTTCAAGTGATTCTCGCGCCTAGGCCTCCTGAGTAGCTGTGATTACAGGCGCCGCGCCCATACCCTGCTAGTTTTTGTGTTTTCAGTAGAGACAGGGTTTTGCCATGTTGGCCAGGTCGGTCTCGAACTCCTGACCTCAGGTGATCCGCCTGCCTTGGCCTCCCAAAGTGCTGGGATTACAGGCATGAGCCACCACACCTGGCCCCGTTCTTTTCTTTCTGAGCCTCCGTTTCCCTTTCTAGGAGCATTAGGCTTTGGTGTGGACATGGAGACATGACCCAGAGCCCCCTCTGAAATAGGACCTGCTGCCCCCATCCCTCAGCCTCAGCCTCAGCCTTGGAGGCCACCTTTGAGGTCACACCCCTCCCTGCGTGGCAGAGCTGAGTGGGGTATCAAGACCCAGCCATTTCAGAGGGTCTCCCGGCAGGGAGCCCTTCCCCAAGTCCCCTGCCCCCCGACTGGCCAAGGCCTGCATGAAGGTTCGGCTTCTCCCTCTGCCCGACGCTGCCTCCCTGGCCTGATCCAGCAGGTGTGGTCCCCAGTGCACCCCAAACTCCATCTCAGCCTCTGCTTCCAGGGAACCCGCCAGGCAGGCCCCCCTTGGTGCATTGGTCCATTGTGTGTTTAGTGCCTACTGTGTGCTGGGTGCTGCTTTAGGCCCAGGGGTGCAGCAGGAAGAAGACAGACGAGGCTTCCCATCTGGTGGAGAGTGAGCCCTGTGCTCCCAGGGTGGGGGAGGGGCCTCTTAGTTGCAGCAACAGACCCCAGCTTTGACCAGTTCAGGCAGAAAAGGAATTCACAGAGGGGTTTCTGGGGCGCTCTCAGAACCTCCTGTGGCCAGGAGGACCAGGCTGGGCCCCAAGACCATGCTGCAGAGGGGTCTCCAGGAGAGCCCACCGCCACGGCCACGCCGGGCACCCCCCCCCCCCCCCCACCCACAGCTATAGGAGCAGGCTCCGTGGCGGCGGTGTCAGCCCTCAGATCTCCCTGCAGTTCTCAGGAAGGGGAAGGCCAGGTGCATTCTCTGGAGCTGCCGGCCAGCTCCCCCTGCCTAGTTTGGTCTGGGCGTAGCTGCCCAAGGCCCTGCAGGGAATCAGCGAGGGCCCAGGTGACAGATTCCCTGCATCTGCAGGGGCAGAGCCAGTCCTGGCCTGAGGCCTGGAGTGAGGCCGCCCCAGCCTGTCCTGGCTCCTGCCGTGGCCCTGAGAGTTCCCTGGAGGAGCCCCAGCTGCCCTGGGTGGTGGCAGCTAAGGACATGGCCGTCCTGCCCACGGTCTCCCTGACCCCTGCCTGGACTTAGCTCCCTGGGCAGATGTGGCCAAAGCCCCCAACCCCCATATGGTGTCAGCACCTGGCTGGGCAGCCCAAGCAGGGTCTCCTGGCAAAGGGGGCTCCAAGTGTGACTGAGGTGGGGTGTGCCGCTCTCATCCACTGCACCCTCAGGTGGCCTGGACCTAACCCAAAACTCAACAAGCAGCAGCCTGACCGTGGTGCCTTAAGCCAGCCACTAGAGGGTGCAGGTGAGCTGTCAGCCTGCCTGGAGGGGCGAGGTGATGGGGGTGAGTGTGCAGGTGTGTGTGTGTGCGCGCGCGTGCCTGTGTGTGGATGTGTTGTGTACATGTGTGCATATGTGTGCACTGTGTATATGTGCTATGTGTATGCACGCATGTGTCCATATGTGCATGCATGTGTGTGCGCGTGCGTGCAATGTATGCATATGTGTGCATGTTCATGTAGGGGGTGTGCACCTGTGTGTGGGCGTGTTGTGTGCATGTGTGTACGGTGCATATGTGCCATGTATGTGCATGCATGTGTCTGTGTGTGCATGCATGTGTGTGTGCCATGTATGCATATGTGTGCATGTTTATGTAGGGGGGTGTGCATGTTGCTGTGCATGTATGTATGGGTGCATGTGTGCCCATGTGTGTGAGTGACTCAGGGCCTTGGGGCTTCTGATCCACAAACCCTACAGAGGGCCATGCCAGAGCCTGAGCTGGGAGCAGGAGCTGGCCTACAGGAGTGGGGGATGCGTGGAGCTCTGAGGACCCAGATAGCTCAGGTCAGCACCCCCAGAGAGGGGCACTGGAAATGGGCCATAAAGGATGACTAAGAGTTCTCTAGGCAGCAGGAGGGAGGAGGTTGGAGGGTGGCGCTGAGGCGTTCCAGCTCCCAGGGCCCTATGGGTGTGCTGGGGAACCCAGCTTGAAAAGCATAGCTCTGGTTCAACCCCCTGCAGCGGGAGACACTCAGGTGCAGACAGAGGAGTGGATGAGCATCTAGTCACTTGGCCTGCTCACTGAAAAAGCCGGCATCAGGCCCCACACAGCCAGTCCCTGGGAGCTCCAGGGTCTCAGGACGTGGTCCCCCACCATGCACACAAGGCCTCCCTCCATTGCTCTCCAGCAGCCCCCGAAAGGGACAGCCGCTGTAGGAGCGTCCTGGGGCTGCCAGAACAAGGCCCTGCAAACCAGGGCTCTTAAAACAATAGAAATGCATCCTCCCCTGTCTGGAGACCGGAAGTCCTAAGTCAAGGCACTGGCTGGCTTGGCTCCTTTCAAGGCTCCGAAGCGGGTGGCCGGCGGGGGGTCGTCCCAGCTCCCTGGTCTGTGGTCGCATCAGTCCAATCCCTGCCTCTGTCCTGTGTGGCCTCTTCTCTATGTCTTCTTCTCTTCTCATACAGATACCAGTCGTTGAATTCAGGGTCCACTCTAAATCCAGGATGATCTCATCTTGAGATTCTTAACTATTGATATTTGCAAAGACTCTGTTTCCAAATAAAGCCACATTCGGAGGCTGCAGGTGGACATGAGTTTTGGGGCCCCTTACTCAACTCACTGCACCAACAGAGAGGTTATGGGTATTCGCTAGGGCAGGGCATGTCCTCGTCACCCTACTCAGCCTCAACAGCCCCGCCCTGTCCTTGCCCAGGGGAGGCCCAACCCATCTTCACCAGACAAGTCTCCCATGAGCTTTGGCCTCGGTCTCTCAGCCAAGGTCTCAGGCCTTGTGACCTCAGAGGGGCGTCAGTTCCGAGTGTCCCGGCCTGCAGAATGGGAATGGGATCAGGGGGCCGGGGAGCCAGAAGGTGGCTACACCCCCACCCTGTAGAAGTTAAGGCATTGGGAGCTTATGAAATGTGAGTGATCCCAAGGTTAATTAATTATTACATTAAAAATGCGCCCGTTAAGGGGCCTCGCAAACAGGAAAGTATTAATCACCCGTTTCCTCAGACTGACAAGCACATTTCCCTAAATTCCTTGGCTGCTGACTTAACCGAATGATAATCTCCCTGCTGCTGCCATTTCCCATGAAGTCACAGCTCATGAATATTCCAGCATCGCAATTTGCTTTTTAAAAGGACAGACTTATTATTTCATTTTTAAGTTTGCTGTCATGAATAGTAATTTTCCAACCCCTAAATAATGAAATGGCAGTGACCACTCTGGCCAGCCGGGACCCAGGAACTCAATGACACAACGGGGCTAGTCCCTGCCATCCCCTGGGAGACAGGGGATGCCAGGTCGCCCTGCACCAGTTCCCAACTACAGTCAGTCCATGGAAACAGCAGTTAATGGGTGGCCCTCCCCTCGGTACTTAACGGTTTATAAGCTGGTCGGCCTCCAGTTCCTGTCTTTGCAGCCACTCTGTTCATTGGGCCACAGCAGTTTTGCCATAGGTAACCGGTTGGGAAGCGTAGCCATGAAGTCAGACAGATGCCAAGTTCAAATCCTGACACTGCTGTTTGCCTGCTGTGTGTTCTTGGGCAAATCACTTAACTTCTCTGGGCCTTGGTGGCCTCATCTGTACAGTGGAATTGCAAACCAGGGTCGGACCCCATGCTCACCCAGTGCCAGGGCTGGTGTTTCTTCTCCCTCTCTGCTGCCTTGGATCCGGAGAGACCAAGGACCAGACCCCACTGGCCTGGAGTTTAGATCTCCTCTTTTGATGAAGCAGAAATGATGGCACCGAGGGCTGGCCTGAGGAACAGCCACTTCAGCTTCCCTGGGAGCAGCTTCCCAGGGTGGTTTCTATTACTTAATGCAATTCCAGGCTCTCCCACGTGCCCAGGAAGCCATGGCAGCTCACTGCACACATGTTTAAGTGGCAAATCCAATTTCACAAGTCCTTTCTGTAATTGCTCACGTGAGGAGGAGCTCCTCCTGACACCCCCTTTCCAGAGATGGATGGTGGTAAGTGGGACGGGCCCTCCTCACACCGTCCCTCCTCTGGGACTTGGCATCATCACCATGGCTGGCCTCCCTGTGCCCCGGCTGTTACCAGAGGGAACTTCCCTCTTGAAACCCCAAAGGCTCCCACCATATCGGCCCCTCAGGATGGGAGCATCTCCCCAACTGGCCCCCAAGAAGACTGGCTCCTGGCTGTCCTGGGCTTCCACACCTTTTGCACCCACGAAGCTTCTCCCCAGGCATCTACAGCCCAGTCCCTTCGGCCTGGCCCTCTCCCCTTGCCCCATCACCTGGCA